TATCATTAAGTACTTCACATTATTTTAAACATTTTATACTTATAATTAGTATAATTTATCAAAAGTATAAACCATTACATTTTCTTTGATTATGCATTTTAGTAAAAAAAAAGGAAAACCTTCAGCTATAAATATTTATTTAACACACTGCATACAATATTTTTCAACTYCTTATTAAAGTCTATTCAAATAATACACGAATCTTTTTATTTCCATATTAAGTATAAGTACAAATGTAAGATTATAAGGTTACTTAATTATAAATTTATAACAAAGAAAAAAATACATAATTATATTGTCATTCTTTTTACCAATTATAATTTATTTAAATAWTTTGAAATTCTTTCTTCTGARATATTCCTTTTCTCTGTTAAGCTTTATACATACAAATTAAATATATTAAGAAATAGAGAATATTAATTAAAGGAAATAGTCAACTGYATATTTTTTTGTGGACATTTCACGTCTCTCTTGTATAGCTGCCTCAAATATTATAAAATCTCTTTGAAGTGTTTCACTGAGTTTTAATATTGCCGCAATATTACCACAACTAGTAATATATAATAAATAACTTGAATATAGATATAATGGATCTTATAATAAAAATTAATAGTAATTACCGATAACAATAATTGGGTGCTGACCAAACAGTAACGACAGTTTCATCAAAATGCCATTTATAACCTTCCATAACTAATTGATGGGCTCGACAAATAATATCTAGATCATTTGTAACATTAAATTGGGAGACAACATCAGGACCAAATAGGTATCCAGCACCTCGGGGACTCACACCCCATCCCTGGATATCTAAGATACATATAATATCATTTAACAACTATTTGAAGACTAATGATTGATTATTTCAGGTGTTTACTTTCAGGATCAGACCATAAGATATCACACATAGGTCCATCATGAGGAACTTCTTGTTTTCTATTAATGGTTCTAATTTGATCCAATGTTTGTATTGAAGGTGACAACCCACCATGTACACAGAATATCTAAACATTTTTTTTTTATTAATTAAAACTATTTCAATGAACAAATAATGAAAGGCATGAATTACATGAATATTTCAATCAATAAAACATACTTTTCCATCAATAATGGCAGATAAGCTCAAATAATCAAAAATGTCGGTACAATAACGCCATACAGCAACACTATTGTATTTTCGTAAGCATTCATCATAAAATCCATAAACTTGAGTGATTTGTCGTGATTCATGGTTACCACGTATTAATGTTATTCGATCAGGGTATCTTACCTATTAAAATAATTTTAAAACTATTTAACACTGAATAATGAACATCAAAATAATAAAATAATAATTTATTTATTAACACATTATTATGATAAATTGGTATAGTTAAAATAAAATAATTTAAATGAAGTAAAACAAACAATTTTTAATAATCAAACAGTAGAAAATGAATGAKTAGATAGCCAATTYATGATATTTAATAGATAAAGCTGGATACTCGACAAGCAATATTTATTTGGTTAGTTTAAATAGTACTTATATTATATTATATGAATACCAAGTACATATTTTATTACACAGAAGAAAGAAAATTAAGTAGTGAAACTAAAGATTTGACTATCTACGTATGTTGTATGTGTGATATTCTCAAGGAATTTATTGATTACYTACTTAGTAAATTAATTGTGTAGTAATGGCTAYTCATTTTTATCTATTACAACTAGAACAMTAGTAAYACTTGGGTAAAATACCCTTAAAAAGTATTTTGAATTCATTCTCTAATACTTATGAAAAAAATTATAATATTTATTATAAAAATAATACTTGTTTCWTGGAAAATTTTAAATTATAGCCAATGCTATTGTATATTATACTGTTTTTGTATAAAACCATAACATAGATAGTTTATGATTCACAATAAAACGATAAATATTAAATTATGTATATTAAATATTAAAATTAATTTTAATATATAATAGGTACTATAAAAGTATTA